ATAACTCTCCTACTTTGATTGTTAGACTATAAGTAAAGATATACTGTTTGATTGTTCAATACTTTGTAAAAGATAATTTGTGATAAATTTATATGTGTCCTCTAATTATTTTCCTATTTCGGCGGGGGACATCAGCCTCACTGTTGGCTTGTTCAAAATGGTAATCGGTTTGAGCTAGAAATCGAATCGACTACGGCTGAACCGATTAATCGTGACAACCTTAATCTCTGCTCATTTGTAAATTGTGTATGCTTGACAAAGGCTTTTATTAAAGTCTTGAAAATAAAAGTGAAATTATGACATGATGTGACGCCTTTTGCCGAAACACGTCCATATCGCATCGAGATTCTTGTTTTTTTCTGTTTTTAATTTCAAATCTATATTTTAATATTCACTAATGCTTCGTTAGTCTAGTCATTACAGGCAGACAGTAATTAATCTGTCAGGCAATTTCAATTATGACAGGCTGGTAACTAAAGTGGTTGATCTGTTAAGTTTTTTTAACTATTGTTTTAAATGCCTTAAGACTTAATCCTTCAATAATTATATGTTTATGTCAACACTTTCATAGGAACTAATTTAGATAAGACTTAATCCTTCAATAATTATATGTATGTGCCAGCGCTTTCATAGGAACTAATTTAGATAAGACAAATGCATGTTACACAAATCATTAGATGGAGAGACCAGCTTAGGTAACCTATATACTAGTTGGATTTCTAGGAAATTGTAATTTGTTTAATTGTTGCTGTTATTTGCTCCTGAAATAAAGTGTTGAAGATCCATTCCAAGAATCTGTATTCATTTCCGATACTTAGAGTTAAAGAACACACATCATTGAGCTACATTCCCTGAAAGTCGATCCCTGTTAATTTATGTTAGTAATTTTCAACCAACTGTTCAACATGATAGCCTGGTTGGGTAATTTGTAATTTGATTTAAGAATGTGTGGGAGGAGATTTTCTGTGTACAATATACGTGTACAGAATGTGTTTCGATCTTGTATATTGTAGGTGAGCCGCAGTGGCTCAGTGAGTAAAATGTTGGTTCGCTAACCGGGAGGTCCAGGGTTTGATCCCGGTGTTGGCCAGGAAACTTCAACAAGATTTTTCGGCATAGTTACCCCTTGTCAGAGATGCAGGACAGAGGGTCTGGCAAGTGACAACTTATAGTTGTTCGGATTGGTGGAAAAAACCTGAGGTCCCATGTACACATTTGCGTGCATGTAAAAGAACCGTTGACAATTTGAATTCGAAATAGGTGATATCGCTGCAGTCCGGACAAATTTATCTCGTAGCATATTACATTTTGTACGTCCGCCTCCATTAGCCTAGTCGGTCAGAAAAGTAGAATGTTAAACACCATTTCATTTCAATTACATTGTATAAGGTTAGGCTAAGAAATTTAATGTATTTTAGCATCCTTGTAGACTGTTTATATAATAGCTTTTTGTCATGGGCATTTCATTGGCCACTGCTATTGTCAAAACCTCCTTCGCTTTGTGTAGCAATGAGTTTGTTTTTCGCAACATGTACACAACAATGCAATATAGCAGAGATGTAAAGAACAAAGATGAAATAAAATGGGATTTAACGTCCTACTGTTAAGTAAGAAGATATTTTGTGAACTATTGGTTATTTTAAGCAAGCGTAAGCGTAAGATATCAATGTTGAAACAGTAAATATATAATCAATGAAAATCACACATTTGCTTCTTCAGATCAGTGAATATGGACCAATCAGGCAGCACTTAACTCCAGCAAGTAGGTCACCATGACAACAATAATACTAGTTGCTGTGTAATATGACCTAATTGTTGGATACAGCTGATAGTTGGGTTGGGCTTTGCGTACATAGTTGTCTACTGTTATTAAATGTATGGGTATATAAAGGTGAAAATCTGGCCAGTGTTTTATTAATATATAAACATTAAACAATCTATTATGACTTTTTATGTAATGATTTATTATTTGTGGGGATTATAGATATTTGATGCAACAATATTTAGATTAAATTAACAGTATAAAGATAGATAAGAATTAAAATTTGCAAAAATGTTGTTTATTCAAGCTTTCTGCATTATTTTGATTTAACATATAAATTTGAGCCATAAAATTGGCCAGCGTTTGCAAAATCCACCATGTATTAAAGCACAATTTTGGTAAATTTTTGCGGGTACAGGTTGGGAATTAGGGTGAATGAACATTACAAGACTTTTGATACTTAAGAGATATTTACTTAAAGTCAGATGATGTCATTTAATATAATGTATAGACTGCATTATCACTTAGTTTTAATATAAACAAAATGGCCTTAATTTTATTTTGTGGGATATACTGATTTGATTGAAAGTACTGGGGAAACATTGCAACTAAAATGTGATCTTTGACATTTCGGACACAAGCAAGTCAACAGCAACCCACTGAGGTCTTAAATGTAACAGTGAAATATTGGCATCATTTGCAGTGATAAAAATCAAAGTCAGTAATGTGTGTGTGTCCATATTTAGCAGCCACCCACACCATGTAACTGTCAGTAAATGGAGGAGATAAACTCATAATGGCTGCTAGTGGGTTCCAGTAGATCTTGAATGAATGTATATGTTATATAGGGCATTTACAGTGTTCAGGTGTCAACCCTGGCATATCGTTGCGTCTTCCAAAGAACTGTAGGTGTTATACTGATTCTAAATTTTTTAAAGAGACATTTTATGTCCCATACATGTATCTGCACCACAGAATTTTGATTTTCAACGATTCATTCTGTCGAATTTCATTTTTAGCATTTACGCAATAATGAAATCGTTTTTCTTACACGTTATCATCGTAATCTAATGTGGTTACGTTCAGAATTGCAAGATTAAAGTGTATCTATCCATCAAGCAAGATTTACAATCTAACCTTCATTAAGAATAATCTCAGACCCACGTAATAATATTGAACATGTATATGTGGGCTTGAACTGATATCCTAAAATGGTAATGCATTTCGAAAGGTGGTATAAAAAATAAACATTGCTGAATGTCAGTAATGGGTATAAGAATTGGCTTCAAATTTGATCCGGGGGTGGGGGGGGGATGGCCAAATGGTTTAACATGTGTGCTTTAGATAATATGGTCTGTCATTGAGTGTAGTGGCATGGTTTCTATTCTCCGTTCTTGAGACATGTACATGTAGGGTTGCCTATCTAACCTCATACTCATAAGTGTTCTCCAGTTTCCTCCCACTGCAAAAGACCCCTACACACAATGAAGCGAATTATTGATTTAAAATTTAACCATATACTAATCCTGAAATGACCTAGTTTGTGTCATGGATGTTAAACCCCATTTATCTGTCTCTTATAAGTTCTCTCACTGATCAGCAGTGAATATTCGCAAATATCACTGCGAGGGATGACATCGGTGTGGGTTAATGAGCTCGCAATATTAACTTTTTTCCTTGTGCAAATTAAATTCTAGGACATTTTTTTGAAGTAATAGAAAAATAAATAAAGGTGTTTAAAGTATATCTGGATAAAGAATATTTCCTATTTAGTGTAAATGAGTATATGAAATGATTAAAAGGCACCATTCTGCTCGGACTCGTCCACGTCGTGTAAACATTGCATGAGCTATCGAGCGAGTGATCAACGCTGTGTGATATGACGTCATATGTGGAAGGAATTTGAACTTATAAATGTCAGTCATCTATACTGCAGTATTGCGAATCATTGCTATTACAATACCTCAATCAAACAGATTGATAAGTTCTAGTCAAAGCAAGCACGTCTTCATTAGCCAGCTTAGGGCACAAAAGTAAAATGTTCAAATCCATTTAAATCCAAAAAAAAATTTTTTTAGTCTGAGTGATAGTGATAGTGTCTCTTTAAGCTCTCTCCTTTTTATTAATATTTTATTAGGAGAGACTCTGCAGAGATATAGGATGTACCTGTATGAACAATGTGGCTCACCTGACGGGTTTAGTATTAACACAGTAAATTATTGTGATGGGTGTAACTTCCTGCTTTATAAAACATGTCAATTACACAAAGAAAAAATAACCTGAATAAAAAGGGCTCCACGACTCTTTATTTAAAGATATACATAATTGCCATGTGGTGTATATATATATATATATATATATATATATATATGACTGTTAAAAAGAAAATGTGGATCACATAGAATAAGTTTGTAATGATTTCAGTTTTTTCTGTAACATGTACATGCGTGGGGGGGTAATTGATTAAGATTTCATTCGTAACAAATGTTATCTAAATCGAAATTTGTTTAATATATATGCCAGTGTGTTGGTAAATTGTAACACATTCACGGAATTTGTTTAGTATTAAAGTACATGTACATACTGATTTGTTGACCACAGATTTTGATTGGAAAAGGAACTGTTTTTTTTATTGTAAGGCAGGAGTAAGAGTAAAGTTAAAAATAACTGTGTTGTTATGCTTGATTACTAGTAATTCTCTGCATGAAGATGTACCATGTCGACTGAGTCTACATGTGTTTCTGGATGTCTATTTACCTATATTTATTGAGTTGAGTCATAGTTTTCAGCTCAAGGTAAAATTCACAATGTACATGTGTGTTTGTGTGGTGTTTATGTATTTCTTATAGCAGTTCACTGTACTCAAACATACATAATGCAAAATGATCAACTTTTTTTACACAATGTGAACTGCACAGGTGTATTTCTTATCCGTTAATTTCGTAAGAAGGAAAATTATGTTATGGAAATAAGGATTTCATGACTTGTATGATATATCTTATAAATGTTTAGGAGAGATGCCTAAATATTTTTTAGTGACTGAGTGAAGTCAGCTGCTCATTAAATTACTTTTACAAGAATCGTGCCCTGGAGGGTTATTGATAAAATGTTAAGTTACAAACTGTTTATAGTAAAACTACATGTACATTTCAGGTTGTGTGTTTGTGTTCTGCAAGTTTACTTTATTAAATATTAATATTATAGATAACTAAACTATTAATTAAATTATATTTTTCAGGCCTTTAAATGACCATGACCGAGCGTCGCACGATCAAAACTCAATTGATTAAGCAATCCGAAATAGAAGAAAACGAAGAAAGTGCATCAGATGAGACGAATGGAAGTCCGAATTCTGATGTTTCCGATGCAACGATTACTGCAAGTAAGTCTTTGGTTAAATAACATGGGTTTTTTGGGGTTTTTTTTTTATTCCCCTCATAGCACACTGTATGGCGTATGCCCGTCTTCATTAGCCCAGTATAGGAGCAGAACAGTAGGACGTTAAACTCCATTTCATTTTATTTCATTTCATTTGTTTCTTTAAGAAGGCTATGTACATAAAACATAAGTGGAAGTATCACTGTACTTTGTCAAAAGTGACCCTGAAAAACAGGATTGATTTTATAATTTTAGAGAAAATGAATTTCTTGCAATAACAGAAAGAAGGGTTACATGAAATTGGTTTTTTTTCCAAATGTCCTTGGATATATCATATCTTTTTATATTGGCTATCTAAATGCTCAAAATGAACCAGTTTTAAGTCCCATATGGTCCACCATTTTCATTAGCCCAGTCAGAGCAGAACAGGATGTTAAACATCATTTCGATTTCATTTCATTTCCATCTAAGTGTCTATTAAAAAAAATTTGAATTTCTAATTTGGGTAAATGAGCTACGTGTACATGCAGCATACAATTGAAAGCGATGTCTGCCCCATGACATGCACATTTCATTGTTTGTGGAAAATCATGATCTCTTGTTGATACCGTACATGTATGTGAATGTATAATTAATGTAGAACTGAGGACAGGTGATAACAAAATTTATAAGACTGTTGTTGTTATAGTCTGTAAGGGTAATGCACAACAATTTTAACTAAGTCATAAATAGTCTATAGAAATTGTTTACAAATATAAGTGTGATAAGATACAATCAGTTATTCAGTGAGTGTACATAAAAAAAACCGAGGTTTGTAAAAAAAAATAATAATTTAATTTATATTGCATTTTTCTAGAAAAGGAGGCCCATTTTCAGATAAAAACCATTAGTTTTGGATGGAATGCAAAAAGGGCGTGAACTCGATTTTCAAAAGCTAGTCAATTGGGTAATTAAACCACTTAGAGCAAACAATCAAGGGTGGAGTTGCCAACATCTCGCAGCAACAGACCCTTTCATTGGCTTTTCCCTTGCATCAACCAGAACAACTCTTCCCGATCCTAGTGTAGTAAAGACAAGTAAAACAAAATTTTGAACTATAAAAAAACAAAATGAAATAGGATCTGTAGTTTAATCAGATTGCACTAAAAGAAGTCCCCAGATTTGTCCCAGTCATCTATATGTTGAGTATGTACTTCTAATGCAGTTAACCTATGTTGCTATGATTGAATGTAAAATAGTGCCAACCGTCCCTAAAAATCCTGTGAAAATTGCTGGATCCGATAATTCTGTAAGATTTTTTAAAATAATGTTCTTTGGTAAATAAAAATAATTTAAGGATTCTCTTCACAAATAGATATTTTGCGCTAAGAAATTTTCGTATAAATGACAAGTTTTGGTGAAATGCAAATACATGTATGTTGATGCATCAAAGCGACTATTGATGGTTATCTTCGGTGCAACGGTACGGAAAATTTTACCTGATATCAGCACTATTGTCGATTGGTAAATGGCGCAATCTTTTCCCTGAGGCAAGCGACGTGCAATGTACATGTACTTCGTCTAGTTTCTTTTGATTAAGGTTCTGTATCTGTCATTTGTTAAGGTTACTTCAAAATGGGATGTTTAGTGCGCAGCTTTTACTGATAAATGATGTCTATGAATGTGGCAATTGGACATACTATGATATATTGCTTGTTAAATTTGATCTATTACTGTTTACTTGATAGTGTTGTTGTATATTAAACAAAATTTGTTATAGTGATCAGTCTGAATTCAGTAAATGTTGTGCTTTCCGATTAGAATTCTCTTCCAAATTCATTTCCTAGGAGAGTAAAATTCCTATAAAGTAGATTTATTAAATTCTAGATTCACAAAAAATTTTATTTGCATTTATCTGATTGGCTTATTTTTGAAACTTGATTGAGGGAGATTGGGTTGCCAAGTTGTCTGTCATTGAATCAAGTGACGTTTCGATTTCCTGCTTGTATGTGACAAGGAGTAGGGTTGCCTGTCTAACCTTGTGGGTTTTCTCCGGCTCCTCCGGTTTCCTTCCACTTCTAAAGACCTCTACGGGCAAACAAATTATAGAAACAAAAATCTTCTTTATTAACTGTTCACACAAACTGTTTATCTAAATTTGCTTTTAAAGATACCTTCCCACAAAAGTATTTATCGGGTTATTGCCCATAAAAGTATGGGAATTTTGGTATATATGGAAAGTGGAAATATCCAGTCTTACTAGAAAAATACTGGATTCCCTGAAAAACACTCATGGACCGCATACAGGACAAAAATGTAAGGGTGTCCCTAACCGCCAACCTGACAATTAGGGATGTCTGCTCGAGTGACGTCAAAGGTTGCACGAGACAATTGTCTGATTTCTCAGCAGTAGTGAGTGCTTGATGTATTTGTTGATAAACTTGATGGTGAGCTTAAACATACAACATTTTCGGAGATAAAAACCAGGGAAAAAAATTTTTGGCAGTGGATAATCCGAGAATTAATTAGGTTTTTATATTTATGATAAATGGACAGCGATTACAGACAACTTTGTCCTGTATGTGCAATGAATTCTCCTCCGGCTCCGTACTCGTTGCTACATGTACTTGTAGGTACTGCGTCAGCCAAATCACGTGACACAAACATGGCAAAAAAAACCAAGGTCCTGTGTACTCATTTGCTTGTACGTACTTAAAAACCCTTGAGAGTTGAAAGTCAAAGTAAGAGTAGACTTTAGCGCTGTTGTCCGTGCAAAGTTTCCCTCATGAGTCATAGCATAAAGCATGGCATATGTCTGTCTTCATTAGACCAGTCGGTGAAGAAAGGTAGGATGCTAAACCCCATTTCATTTCTTATGACCCTTGTCATCTCATCTGATTTAAATATGATGTCAGCTATATTATATACTTTTATATTGTAGATATACCTGTCTGTATTCAGTCAGCCAGTGATTCTCCAGAAAATGGCTCACCAGAAGAATCTGGCACATCAGAATGTATAGATAAAGAAAGGAAAGAAAAACCAAGGTCAAATAATGCTTCCGCTGTAAGTATTTTGGCTGTATTAGGTTTTGTTTTTCTACCTAATTGGGAATGTTTTTAGTGTTTAAATCCAAATTTTCTTTGATTTAATGTGTTATTAATGATTATGACCTAATGAAAACCTGAGACATGTACTTATTGCTTATACAATAATGTTGAATTGCTAAAAGGTTATATTTTGTAGCATCTTGCAGAGAAGTTATCAAGCTATGGACGTATATCTTCTTTGTGGGGGGGGAAGGGGGTTCAGTGGCCAAATGGTTAGAATGTGCGCGCTGAATCATAAGGTCTGTTATAGAGTCAACTGGCATGGTTTGGATTCCCTGGTTGCACGGGACAAGGAGTAGGGTCACCTGTCCAACCTCGTGGGTTTTCTCTGTGTCCTCCGGTTTCCTCCCACTGCTAAAGACCCCTACGCGCAAGCGAATTATTAAAAAGAATTAAATCCTGTGTTAGTCCCGAAATTACCAAGTTTGTGTCGAGTGGACGTTAAACCCCATTTCTCTCTCTCTCTCTCTCTCTCTCTCTATATACACTGTGTATATTCCATGAATTACTGATACATTTTAATATATTTTCAACCCACTAAAACTGTCATTCAGTTGATAGATACTAAACACCATAGATGTTCAATAAGTGCGTGTCTAAACTGAGTTTGATGATGAACATTTTCGTCTTAGATTAAGACGTGCTGTGTCATTATTTTATCCCAGACTAGTTTGTGACATATCCACCTGCTAGTCTCTTGGGCTTCTCTGCGTCCTTCGGTTTCATCCCACTGCATAAGAGCCACATTTTTAAAAGAACTGTTTACAAACAAAAATGGACCATATGCTAGTCCCAAAATGACAGATTAGTGTTGTGTAGATGTTAAACCCCATTTCTTTCTATCCAATCTGATTAAAATACAGATCTATATTTCGTTTCGTTTTTTTTTATACTTTCGATGGCCTACACTGCATGAAGATCTGACAAGTTATAGCGATAGGTCACGTCAGGGGTCAAAAGACCGACTTATGACCCTATGATGTCAGACATTTGATTAACCAATCAGCATTGATGTTACTAGTGGATTACCCACAGTTCCGTGCAAAACACGCCTAAAACTCGCCGTGACAGACCGTTTCATTGGCTTATCCCTGACACCATTCAGAACACGAGTTAAATAACAACTCTTCCAGATCCAAGTGTAGTAACGACAAGTAAAACGAAATTTTGAACTATAAAAACGAAACGAAATAGGATCTGTGTTTTAACCAGATTGCTTTCTATCTCCTTGGAAAAAAAAGTACAAAATTTCAGTATGAATATGGTATAGAATATATGATTTATTATAGCTATACAAGGTATCTTTTGTCTCCTGTGTCTCCTTGTGTAATAGTATTGATTTTTCATTGGAGTAGAAAACCAGTTCTAGGCCACACGGACAAGTATTTTATGAAGGATTAAGGCTGAAAGAACATGAACTAGACTGATGTAACTTAATTTCTGTTGAAGAACTCTTGTTCAGTACAATATATTGATTAACTATTCTTTACTTAATACTCGGTTCATACCTTGTTGGTATAAAGAGTTACTGCTTATTCTTGACTTTGTTAAACATGCAGCATACATAGATAATTAAGATCCATTTCTTTTCATAGCATAGAAAAGTCAAAATGTTATAAATGGACACAGTTTGTCTTTAATATTGCTTCAATATCTAAGGCCACACAAAAAAAATTATTCTGGCGACACAAAAAAATTATTCTGGTTCTCAGAAAATCCTTCGTAAAAAATTGATGCGGTAGAGCGCTTTTATGTTAAAATCTAGCTAGTTTTTTTATGTTTAATTATAAATTTAATATTTATTTTACTCTTAATAAGAAGAACAAAAAATAGGTAAGATTTTTAGTAATGGCCGAATAACTATGTGCCTTCATCTCGATTAACTCCTGAGAAAATGTTTTCAAATCCGCTGGGTTTTGTTTTGGCGACCATTACAATTACGTGGTCTTCATACCTTTGGAGTCCGCAAACATTGTGTTTCATGTTGATGATTATACAGAGTAATGATAAAGAAAAAAAAAAAAACAATAGTAAGGCAGTGTCTAGTTGTTAGGGTTGGTACAAAAAATTTGAATTTCCGACATAATGTAGCACGCTGTTTGGCATATGCCCATCTTCATTAGCCTAGTCCGAGCAGAACAGCAGGTTGTTATATCCGATTTCATTTCTATAAAAAACATGAACTGTAAGGCCTATTGGTGTGAACTCATTCTTTCCTAGTGCTAAAGTATGATGGATGCAAATAGAAATCATCAATATTTTGCTTCTGTGTAAGTCAATTATTGTGTAAATTCATTTTTCAGTGATAATTTGTCAAGTTGTGTAGTTTCATTATTCGGCATATACTCCAGTTTTAACTTGATTTTCAGAATTAGGGACGTGTTAAATTTCCAATAAGCTAAACCAAGCATTGAATATTTTGAAATGTAATATCAAACATAACATCTTTACAACACATATTTAACTCTAGACAAATCAAATCATGTGTTATGGGTACTTGAAACTTTAGATCACACTAAATTGATTTTCTCTTCTTCGGGAACACCTATAAAAAAACGTTTTCTTCTTGTTTCTTCGGGAAAAGAATTAATCTAAAAACCAAAAGTACTTAGTTGTGCTGTTTAAGAACAGGTGAGTCACGGTGGCTAAGTGGGTAAGACGTTGACTTGCCAGCCTGAAGGTAGTGGGTTTGATCCCAGTGTTGCCCGAGAAAGTTCATTGGGGTTTTCTAGTGTGGTTTCCCATTGTCAGTCTGACAAGGACAACTATCTAGTTGTTTGGATGGGACGAAAGACCAAGGTCACTTGTACACATTGGCATGCACGTAATGAGGGCCCTTGACAGTTGGAATTTGATTTACGATTAAGAGTAGGCTTTAGCGCCACAGTCGGGGCAAGATTTCCTTCATAGCATACTGTATGGCGTATACCTGTCTTCATTACTCCAGTCGGAGCAGAACAGTAGGACATTAAAAGCCCATTTGATTTCATTTCTGTTAAGAACATTTAGTTCACAAAATTTGGAAGAATAGAAAATAAAATTTATGTGGCTTTCAGTGTACATTCTCAAGATTTGTCACATAATATTAGACTTCCATTTTCTTGATTATTGGTTTTTAGTACACGGCACCATTTTCAATGTTTTGTGAATAGATGAATTTAAATTACTGTATAATTAAGATTTATAAAGGGTTTTGAGAGGAGTTGATCCTTCAGAGAATACATTTGAACAGAAGAAAAATGTCTGTTATTAATGTATTTCTCTATTGCTAAATGACACTTAAGATTAAACCAATTTGTGAAACTGTAATCATATGTTACATATAAATTATACATGTACTACATTTGATATTTTTTTTATCCATGTGTAAAAAAGATGGACCAAAATTTCAAAAATGGCTGTTTAATTTGGTCGCTTCTGTTCGGGGTTCGCTTATGGTGTTGGCTGACAGAATCCCTCTAAATTTTACGGCACTGTGTCGGTGATGCAGGACGGAGGATTTGTCTTGTCATTCAGATGGGATAAGAAACCATGGTCCTGTGTACACTTCATGGCGTATGCTTGTCTTCATAAGCCCAATGGTGCATTCACTTAGGATGTTAAACCCCATTTCCTTTGTTTTTCTGTCTGATGGAAAAAAAGAAAGAGAAAAGATGAACCCTATTACTGACCTAAATTGTTTGAACATGCTAGTTTAGTAAGCTTATCTTTTTCAATAATTCACTTGTTCCTTGTCATATAGAAGCAAGGAATCGAAACCACGATAGGCCTACTTGATGCAATGGCACCTTACCTTATCTTTCAATAATTCATTTGTTCCTTGTCATATAGAAGCAAGGAATCGAAACCACGATACTTGATGCAATGACAAATTAGAACATTCGGTCCACCAACCAACCACTAATTGTAGGAATGCAATAATGAATATATGTTAGTAGTTTTTTTCAACAGCTTGACAGTTTCCTTCATTGGTTAAAGCTATGAATTTAATGTCATTTTAAGAATGAAAAAAAAAGATGAATTCTGGTTATATGTTATGATGGTCTTCGAATTTATTTTTGTAACGGTATATCCATATAATTAGGTGATGGAATAGAAAAATTATATTTAATTGCCTCAGTGTAAATTATTTTTAATATTTTCTTTGTTACAGAAATTGAAGAGAGAAGTAGCCCTGTGTGATGATGTTACTCCACCACCAGAGAGAGCTGATAGCTTTGAGGGTGAAAGTCCTGCATATGAAACACCAACCAGCTATGATACCCTGGTTATACCAAACAATATTAAATTAGAAAAACAAGGTTCCCAGGGTTCGGAAACTTCTGCTTCTCCATGTCTTTCTCGAGGTAATCTAATTATCAATATTTATACTTAACCCATTTGCACTCGGCACAATCTGGTTAAAACACAGATCCTATTTCCTTTCGTTTTTATAGTTCAAAATTTCGTTTTACTTGTCTTTACTACACTTGGATCTGGAAGAGTTGTTATTTAACTCATGTTCTGAATGGTGTCGGGGATAAGCCAATGAAACGGTCTGTTACAGCGAGCTTTAGGCGTGTTTTTCATGAACTGTGTGTAATCCACTACTAACATCAATGCTGATTGGTTAATCAATGTCTGACGTCATAGGGTGATAAGTCGGTCTTTCGACCCCTGACGTGACCTTTCGCTATAACTTGTCAGATCTTCATGTAGTGTAGGCCATCGAAAGTATAAAAAAACGAAACGAAATATAGATCTGTATTTTAATCAGATTGCACTCGGCAGAGTTCCTTGAAGAAAATTAGAGAAAAGGAGTATATTAGAACAGGTACATCCTTGGACAGATCGAAACTGCTGTTCCTTAGACCACCTCGAGAGAAAGAGAAATGGGGTTTAACTTCCACTCAACACAAACTAAAGTCATTTCAGGACGAACATATGGCTCAATTTTATTTCAATAATTCGCTTGCGCATGGGGGTCTTAAGCAGTGGGAGAAAACCCACAAGGCTGGACAAGCGACCTTACTCCTTGTCACATAAAAGATGGGGAGAAAAAGCAAGCCACTTGACTCAATGACACACCTTGATGCAACATGTGCGTTAATCAATAGGCCACCCAACCCCCAGACCACCTCCAACTACCTGAGATATATGAAGAGCTTTCCATATGATAGGACACTGTATCAATATATTTTTGCCATATTGATATTTTTCTACTTTTATTTTATATTCAAGTGTTACATGTAGCTAGACTGTTTATAAAGACTTCATAATCAGTCATATTATTTGGGCTGTGCAGTAAACAATAAGTCTGCTAAGCCAAGACCAAAGGTGTAGAAACAAAGTGAAGTGTGTATTCACATAATCAGTCATATTATAGTCTTTGCACTGCATTTGCAGTAAACAATAGTGTCCAAGACCAAAGTTATAAAAACAATAAAACCATTCAAAATAAAACTGCTTTGATAAACCCTGACTTTCTCGAAGTATTGCAATACTGCAATATATCGCAATACTTTTTGTCAAGTAGAACAATATATTGCAATGCTATTTCTAGCCGCAATACACAGCCCTAGTTGTGTATGTGAGGCTCTAAAGCTACATGGGGCCTAATTCACAAAGTCTTAAAAACTAAACTTATTACGGTAAGTATACAGCCTTTTCATTTGCTGAGTGTTAATATAAATCCTTCTACAAATATTAGATTCTGGGCAATAAAAAGACTGCATTTTTAATTGAAACTACTTTAACCATAGCTATTTGGTTTTATTTTATTGAAATTTTCAAGACCTTTTATGGCTGTTATTTTGATCTCAGAATATTAAACATACTTATGCAAGAGCTAAATCTGCCTATCGTAGGTTTTTCTTTAGGCCTGAAATGTTATATAAACTATTAATTAGACATTAATTAACGTATCCAGACCATAATCAACTTTCGATGTCAACGCTAGCCTGCGATATTTGTTGGATTATGATCCGATTTGCTGCATAACTTCCCTTCTCGATTTAACAATTAAATGGATGATCAAGACTATGATTTTTGTCGTACCGACTTTAGTAATGATGACCAAGGCTATGCGGAACTTTTGATCGCTTATTTCTCGGTTGATAGTGGATCAATTTGAATGAAATTTTCAGCAAATTGCCTTTACATTATCTAGATTTTAACTATTATAGTTAGAACTGCCAACTCGTTATCTAATCTCCCATAATGTATCTTTAATATTTTATAACAACCACGAAGCATCAAAATTGCTCAATGTGATCTGAGCTCTAAGAGTATTGTTTATTTGTTGTTCAACATATTTTTGTTAATTACAGATTCCAGCTTAGATTCTACATATAAAGATTCAACCGGTATAGATTTGGTCGAGTTTATAAGAAAAACATTGAACAAATCTGTCAAAGATAAGAAAATGCTTCTTCAGCTAGAAAAAGATTTTAAGAAATTTATTAAAGAACCCAAGTGAGTTTTTAATTCTTGACACTGTGTATTAATCTTAATCAAAGATTGAACTTTAAACTGCATTAAAACGCAAGTATAAAATGAAATGGTGTTAGCAATCTACGTTTCTGCAAGAAAGCAAATTACATACATGTAGTTGAGAATTATGATAACCTTTTTTCTCTAGCTCCGTCTCCAGAATGAATAAGAGTCTAGAGCAAAAAGAGTTTTTGTCTTTGATTGTTTGGGAAAAAATAGGAGATTAAAGTAAAATGAGTTTGTCTTCAGATTTCTTTAGAGAAAAAACCCAAACTTTCAGCTTTCATTGGAGACACACAAAAAAAATCTCGTCAACAAGAGGATTCAGCTATTTTCCATTAGTCTTCGTGTGAACCTGCAAATTTATATAGCTAACATGTTGAATTATAAAATATTCCAAATATTTATGTCATAATTAATCTTATAAAGTATTAGGGAGGCTTTTTTATTTTTTTTAAAATCAACCGTATTGCGGTTGGGTTTTTAACGACCAATTAACCAGTTCAATAAATTTTGAACCATAACATCCTTAATCTCGGAAGTGAGGTCATTTTGGGAAAAACGCATTATGCCATCGCTAATGTCCATCCGCAGTTAGTTTGTGGACAAGTCTGTCTACCAAAGGTTACTTTCGATATTGGCATGTTTCGGACCATAACTTCATGGATTATGGCCCCTAATTACAGTACGAAAAATCATGTTTTTAGCTTGTGGTAGGGTGACCCATGCACTCTACAGAAATACAGTCCTCCGCTGATAGTTCGAGACTACCACTGAAGCGTGCACATTCGCCGTGTCAAGACCAACTTTCTGGCAGTATGATGCTATAAATAGCCATGGCACGTGCAATTCTCTACAAATCTATCAACTATTACAGCTGTAAAAAATTTATTGTTGACGATTTTGAATAGCAGTACAATTAAGCTTCTTGGTTATTACAGCAGATTAAGAAATTACGTTCGTTTCATTTTTTAAATCGCTTTATCATTAACTGTACCGTTAAGAGCGGCATCTTTTGGTTTAGTACAAATAATATCTCTGAAACACTCGGGTTAGACAGGAACATGATACTAGCAGTAGTTTCATTTTACTTTTACAAGCTTCTTAAAACAATTGTTGAGCTACCTAACATGCTTATTTCTAAATTCAATTTCTTGTTCTAGCTTTCTGTTATGTTTCGTAAAAAAGTAGTCTTGATTATCCCGACCTGTCAATCAGCCTTAGAATGGTCGATAGACTGGTTAAGCGAGAATAATTTCAAAACAAGGGAACGTAACCTATCTTTTACTCAAAAGTGTTTGGATGTTATGGACGACACTTGGAACCAGTTTTCAGTCTATTATTTATAGATGATTAATGGTCATAGCTTATTAAGTACAACATGATCGTTTATTTAGTGACTATAATTGTGTGAAACTGATTTGAGGCTTGGCATATATATATATATAAATATTGTGGCGTAATTGTCCAGATATTTGGAGATATTTATTTATGGTGGGTCACCCTACTTGTGGGCACTCTAGAGGTCACAATTTTCGTCTGGTTTTGATGAAACTTAATATTCATGTTTATGACCCAAAGATCTTGGTTCCTTTTGATATTCTCGTATATCGTGTTGTAACTTCTGGAATTATGGCCCATGATTGTAGGAAAAATCGCGTTTTTAGCTTGTGGTCCCTCTAGAGGTCACAATTATTATCTGATTTAAAAAAGCCTTCGAATATATCACCGTTACACCGTAATGTCGATTTAAAACTGCTGGACAAAATGGCCGCCCCTTGTAGGCAAATAGTGTAAATATATGGTATATCAAGGTTGTGGACCCTCTATAGGTCACAATTTTGATCTGAATTTGATGAAACTTGAAATACATGTTAATAACCCAAAGATCTTGGTTCCTTTCAATATTCGTGCATATCGGATCGTAACTTTCTGAATTATGGCCCTTGATTGTATGAAAAATCATATTTTTTAGCTTGTGGATTCTCTAGAGGTCACAATTTTTATCCGATTTTAAAAAACGTTTAAATATATCACCATTCCACCATAATGAGGGCCGATTTCGAATTGTGGGAAATTCGAAACGAAACTGCCCAAAAAATGGCCGCCTTTTGTATGCAAATTGTATAAAGTATGTAATACGAAGGTTGTGGAACATCGAGAGGTCACAATTTTTGATGAAACTTAAAATATAGTGCTCCTACGGTTAGGACTTTTTGTTATTCGAATGGCCGTAGCTATTAACCGGTTAGTAACCGTTAACCGTATGGTATCAATTTTAAACATAAAACAGAGCTTGTCAGGAGGTGCGAGTCATTACTCGTGCGCACGCTATACTCGCTAAAGTAAAAGGCATTACACGCGCAAACATTTCAGGAATTCTTTAATGAAAATTTAAACTATATAAGGCCGTAGTTATTTATTTACCTGGTTAACCTGTTTCATTTGAAACATTTTTTAATTCAATATATATCTACGATAATATACAAAACAATAGGCACTACTCTGTTTCCCTTCGTACGTGACAGATGGCGATAATATTACAATTACACAATGTTACTAAGAATAGAATAAAGTAAATTGGAAGACGTCTATTGATTGGACAATAAAGAATTAATTCCTCGCTTGCAAGTAGAATTTTTATGATTGGTTAATTTAACTAAAAACCAAAGTAGAATTCTTGTGAGAAATTACGAGATATGAAACGTGTTGAATGTCGTAGTAACGAATCTAGTATAATGTCATTTTCTATTCCTTATGATTATATTTTGAATGGTGGTTACGTTTTTAAGTAAATAATAAACAAGGTAGAATATAGTTAGAAATGCCGAGAAGTATTTAGATTGGATTAACCAGGTCCGTTGACTTTGCCGTATGACTACGACGAGTGCTATTAATAGTATCATTGTTTAGCAATCGACATCGTAGGACGACTGTTACATTCTAAGATTTTCAAACATCAAATACAAAATGACAACGGGCAAGTTTTGTTATAAAGAGGAATATAACCAGACACAACTCTATGTAATGGGGGACATCTCCGAATAACCGTACCTTTGAATTCGAACCGTTTAACCGTTCAGTTCTAACCGTTTACGGCTATCCGACTAGTCGTAGGAGCACTATTAAAATATATCTTTATATCCCAAAGATCTTGGTTCTTTTCGAGTTGATTATGGGCTTGGCATGTGAATAAAGTAACTAATGATTTATATAACGTTTGAGGCCAAACGAAAGATCTGCATTAGGCATATTTAGCTGTTACAAAATACATCTTTAATCTATAGAAGAATTGAATTATGTATTTAGTATATATTTTTATTCGTGTCGTCATGGGTTGTTGTTTTTTTTTCAGACATCAGTATCTTCAATTACCTGATATGTCATCCTATGATAGGATGTTGGTACATCGCATTGCTGCTTTTTTCGGACTGGATCATAATGTTGACCAGAGAGGCAAATCAGTTATAGTCAGTAAAACTAAGAAAACAAGAGTGTAAGTGTGTTCTATGTTAGTCACAAATTAAGTATTTGCATTTTTATACGTCCACATTCATAATGTGAACGTATTATGCCGTCGCCCCTGTCTGTGTGTGTGTGTGTGTGTATGTATGTATGTGTGTGTGTGTGTGTGTGTGTGTGTGTGTGTGTGTCTGTGGTTCGCCTACAGGGCGCAATTCTTCATGGATTTTCTTCAAACTTGGTATACTTATTCCTTATACCCCAAGGAAGATCCCTATTGTTTTTGGTGCATGCCCGACCCCCCGGGGCAGAGCCACGCCCATTTCTAGTATTTGTTTGTTTGTCGTCTACAGGCCACATTTCTTAACTAATAATCTTGAAACTTTGCATACACATTCTTTGTACCCTAAGGAACATCCCTATCGTTTGGGGTGCATGCCCAACCCCCAGGGGCAGAGCCACGCCCATTTTCTTTTCGTGTGTCTTTGTGTCGCCTACAGGGCGCAATTCTTACTGGATTTTCTTCAAACTTGGTATACTTATTCCTTATACCCCAAGGAAGATCCCTATTGTTTTTGGTGCATGCCCGACCCCCAGGGGCAGAGCCACGCCCATTTCTAGTATTTGTTTGTTTGTCGTCTACAGGCCACATTTCTTAACTTATAATCTTGCATACACATTCTTTGTACCCTAAGGAACATCCCTATCGTTTGGGGTGCATGCCCGACCCCCAGGGGCAGAGCCAGGCCCATTTTCTTTTCTTTTTATGTCTGTGTGTCACCTACAGGCCACAATTCTTAATCAATCGTCTTGAAAAATTTTCATATGAATTGCTTTTCCCTAACGATGATCCCTATTGTCTTTGGTGCATGTCCGACCGCCAGGGGCAGAGCCACGCCCATCCCTTATATTTATTTATTTGTTTGTCATCTACAGATCGCATTTCTTATCGTATCACCTTGAAACTTAGCATACATATTCCTTCTATCCTAAGGAACATCCCTATTATTTGTGGTGAATACCCAACCCCCAGGGGCAGAGCTACGCCCATTTTTGTCCCCCGCCTTTCGAAGAAAGCAGGGGACTATTAAAATGGGTTCGTCCGTCTGTCTGTCTGTCCGTCTGTCTGTCCGTCACACTTTTTGGGACACAATAACTCTCTTCCTAATTGAGCTAGAATGTTCAAACTTGGTGTATGTGTTTATTAGGTCAATGCCTTGATGGAGTTCGAAGATGAGCATTTTCCGCTTAGGGTAAGCAGAGATAAGCAATGATAAGCAATTTGATTGGTTGATGCTTTGGGACACGATAACTCTCTTCCTAATTGGGCTAGAATGTTCAAACTTGGTGTATGTGTTGATTAGGTCAATGCCTTGATGGAGTTCGAAGATGAGCATTTTCCGCTTAGGGTAAGCAGAGATAAGCAATTTGATTGGTTGATGCTTTGGGACACGATAACTTTTAATTGAGCTAGAATGTTCAAACTTGGTGTATGTGTTTATTAGGTCAATGCCTTGATGGAGTTCGAAGATGAGCATTTTCAGCTTAGGGTAAGCAGAGATAAGCAATTTGATTGGTTGATACTTTGGGGCACGATAACTCTCTTCCTAATTGAGCTAGAATGTTCAATCTTGGTGTATGTGTTGATTAGGTCAATGCCTTGATGGAGTTCGAAGATGAGCATTTTCCGCTTAGGGTAAGCAGAGATAAGCAATTTGATTGGTTGATGCTTTGGGACACGATAACTTTAGTTCTAATTAAGTGAGATTGATGAAACTTGGTGTATAGTTTCATTACAGTAATACCTTGACTAAGTTTGATAATGAGCATTTTCTGCTCAGGGTAAGCAGAGCGATACGCAATTTGATTGGTCGAGACTTTGGAAAACAATAACTCTCCTACTTTGATTGTTAGACTATAAGTAAAGATATACTGTTTGATTGTTCAATACTTTGTAAAAGATAATTTGTGATAAATTTATATGTGTCCTCTAATTATTTTCCTATTTCGGCGGGGGACATCAGCCTCACTGTTGGCTTGTCTTTTTTTATGTCTGTGTGTCACTTGCAGACCGCATTTCTTAATCGATCATCTTGAAAACTTTTTTATACTTATTCCTTATAGCCTAAGGCTACTTTTTTATACTTATTCCTTAATCCTAAGGCTGACCTCTATTATTATTTTTGGTGCATGCTCAACCCCTTGGGACAGAGCCACGCCTAATGTTTGTGTGACTTGTGTTTTGCCTACAGGCCGCAATTCTTAACAGATCCTTTTGAAACTTTGCATACCTATTCGAAACGTCATGCTTTTAGAATAAAGACATTGATTGTTTTAAAATAAAAATGGTGTTCTGTTAATGTGAACGAAATGTTAAACTGATAGCAGTCCTACAACCCAGTTTTATATCACAGACCCTCAATGCAAACTGGACCATATCAAACAAAACAGGAATGTGGACGTATATTGCTGCGTTAGCGATGCTCTTGTTAACATGGAGATGCTGTGGCTCACTAACCTGGAGGTCGTGTGTTCGATCCCTTTGTTGACCGAGGAAATTCATTGGGATTTTTTTTAGCGTGGTTCCCCTTATCAGTGGTGCAGGACAAAGGGCCAGGCAAGGGACAATGGATAGTCATTCATTAGATCATGGGTACTCATTGGCAGTTGGTATTTCCCCAATAGCAAACCGTATGGCATATGTCTATCTTCATAAGCACAATGGAGGGATCACGTGGCTAAGTGGGTAAGACACTGGCTCGCTAGCCTGGAGGTCGGGTGTTTGATCCCTGCATTGGCCAAGAAAGTTCATCCAGATTTTCCAGCGTGGTTTCCCCTTGTCAGTGATGCAGGACAGAGGGCCTGACAAAGACAGCTGTTTAGTCGTTAGGATGGGACGAAAAAACGAGGTCCCGTGTACACATTGGCGTGCACGTAAAAGATCCCTTGGCAGTTGGAATTCGATATAAGAGTAGGCGATAGTGCCGCTGCCCGGGCAAAATTTCCCTCATAGCACACTGTATGGTGTATGCCCGTCTTCATTAGCCCAGTATAGGAGCAGAACAGTAGGACGTTAAACCCCATTTCATTTCATTAGCACAATGGGAACAGAACAGTAGGACGTTAACATCCATTGTGATGGTGTGCACAGTGAAAGAATAGCCAAATCCACTCTTCTTCTTCAAGCATCAGTTTATTCAATCTATTGACAATTTATTAGTTATTTTATAGCATATACTTATTAAATTATTAGGCTAGTCAATTAGCATCCCAGCTTCAAAGTTCCCCAAGATTTTGTAGCCTGGTTTCTCGTCATTGGCAAAGTGTCTACTGTCAACTGCTTCATTGGTTTCGCCTAATGTGTGATGAAAGCCATGTTGTCTTGAACTGTTGTCAAAAAGTACAAGTAAATACATGTACATCAAATTTTTCAAGAGAACTTTTTTATTAATTGCGATATTTAATTGTACAACGAATTTTATTTAACGGGAGTTGATTTCAAACACACAGGTAAGTTTATGGTAGACAAAGTTAAATAGTTTGTCCATAATCGATGAAATCTGTTTAAAATTTAGGACACTTCAGAAATTTGTCATTTTGAGGGGTAAAAAAAATTGGTCCTCAGTATACATTGGCAGCACATCAAATTTTTTTTAATATGATTAGACCTAATAAAGCACACTGGTTTTACTTTTGATTGCATTCTTTTATTGCAGGCCTGATTTAGTATTTGAAGATTATGTATTGAAAGGGGGGGAATTGCAACCTAAAAGACAGATTTTACCAAGAAAAGTTCCAAGTATGGATGAAACACACGTATGTTGAATTCTATTCAAATATTTTATCAGAAACTATGGTTTTTCATCAAAGAACCTGATAAAATTCTTATCCTTGTGGTCTAAGGGGAGATAATAGGTAATCAAAGAGTTACCCCTCTTGATTATCTTTACAACATATTTTAGATACAATCTTTGTTGCTTTCTGGATAGTTCGATCAAGTTTAGACTAACACTTTGATCATATGTGGCTAATTAACCCAGAAAGTGTGTTGATGCTGTCTGATTATTTTAGAAAAATCAAATGGATTCAAATTTCAACCAATTACGTTTGGACAATAGAAATCTAGTACAACCATAATGATCAGGGCCCTGTTTCTCGAAATCTTAACTAAAGATACAATCCACATTTTAGTAGATACTTCAATTTTGATTGGTTAAGCACTAAAACCAATCTAATATTATCCAATCAAATTACTAAAATTTGGATTTTTATCTTAGTTAAAATTTCGTGAAACAGGGTCCAGGCTTATAGAGAAGCTGAATGGTTAAATGAATACTAGTATAGTGATGTATCTTTGATTAACGCTGTGTAAAATTCTTTAAATGGCAGTTAGTAATTGGAACATAATCAAATAAAACTCTATTTTGTTGAAACGTTGGCGTGAAATACACCATAGTAATTGTTATCCATAAATAGTGTTTTATTTGATGGTGCAATGTATGTCTTGTCAGTCTGAAGTCAGTACAAGTGACTTATTGTATGATAAAAGGGGAGTTGGGTGGCCGATTTGTTTAACATGTGGGCTTTAGATCTCAAGGTCAATCATTGAGTGAAGTGGCATGGTTTTTATTTCCCTTTCATAGTGTTGCCTCACCAACTTTGTGAGTTTTCTCCGGATTCACCGGTTTCCTCCCACTTCGAAAGACACACTGAAACGAATTATTGATAAAACTTGAAGCGTATGTTAGTCAAGAATTAACCTAGTTTGTGTTGAGTGAATGTTTTAACCCCATCTCTCTCTCTCTGGTACTGTATAATAAAATAGCAACCTATGTTTATTTTAGAGTGCAGGATTACAAAAACCTCATATAGGAAATAACAGGGCTAAATCATTAGAAGAAAGACAAAAAAGTTATGATGAGCATAAAGCTAGAATTTTTAATGGAGAGGTATGTACTTATAAGGACAAATGCTAGACCCATCAACCCCTCACAGATTCTATGCAGTAAGGTAGTTTTAAAAAATGCAGTAGAAACCATGATTTGGCTTTTCCAAAAGCGTGTAAATTTACAGTTCCAAGGGTAATTAATTTAGAAATATATACATTGATCGAACAACACGTAGGCCCAACAACACAAAAATTGTATTAAAGTTTTAGATTTGAAAGGGTAATAGATATAAAATAAACATAAGAAATGGTAACCATATAAAATTTATGGAATTAATCAAATGACTAGGACTATAATTACTAAGCATGTTTTTTGTCAATATTGTTCTATAGAAGATAATTGGTGGGCTTTATTTTTATTGTATTTTTATGTTAGTAAGAAAACCAGAAGAAACCGTTAAAACCGTAAAAATAAAATTGTTTTGCTTAATGACTAATCAGCATTGGTCAATATAATGGATGTTGATAACCGAAACTCGCAATCGAGGCTAGGCAGAAAATTCAATCTCTAAAATCTTGGTTCAGAGTGGATCAATTTGACTGAAATTTTAAGCAAATTCCCTTTACATTATCTGGTTTTTAACTATTATAGTGAGAACTGCCAGCTCTTTATCTAATCTCCCATAATGTATCTTTAAGGAGGCTTTGCAAAATGTCATACTGCACACAGCGATGCATCTACTCCATACCTCAAGAATACATCACTGTGCTAAATGCTGTCCATTTAAAACGCTCACGTGATCATTTTGGGGCGGGACTTATCGACTTTACAGCCAATGACATATATTTATTACCGAAGCACGTTGATTATGTAAACTCATGTCAAATTACCGAAATGACGACTTCTGCTATTCCAGTAAAAGCGATATATAATATGTGCCAATGGGTGATATTACAATACAGTCTTTATCATTGTAAACTGCCTTTAGAGTTTCAATCTGTTTATCTTTCAAAACAAGGTTAGATACTCCTAAATTTGTCTTCGCAAACAAAGCCGCTTCTGTGAACATATCTTTCATGGATGCCACCATATTGAATAATTAGTGGACTATTACGTGCTTTCGCGCTAATCCGTTTGCCATCTTCCATACACACAACGGCTAAGTAAACATATTAAATTTCATCCAATATGAAAATAGAAGAGAAAGAAATACTTCTAAAAATTTCTAAAGGCATACTCAGTGTTTTTGACTAAAATCGTTGATGTAGAAATTTAAAATGTCGGTTAATTAGGTTAGGGCCTATTCTCAGGCAGAGCTAACTGTAGAGAGGCAGCCTAAGTTTGGGATGGCAAAATGTTTGAAGTGTCATATTCAAATGACTGCAGCCTCATCTTGTTGTTAAAAATCCAAACTCTGAGTTCTTAGGAGTAAGGCATTATAAGTGTTTGTTAAAATCATTGAAAACCTGTAAAGAATTTGTAATAAGCATGGCTAGGTAGATTGTTGTTCTTACAATCTCACCTGGACATCCTGATATAACTATAGTAAAAAACACATCAAATAAAACATTCCTTGAGAACACTAATGCCTTGATAACACTATTGTCTGTTTAAAACTTAACTATTGAGTTTTCCCCTGCTGACAAAACTGAATGTGTGGACAGAGTGAGGTCATTTGGTTACCTATAGATCGTGAAAATTTATTTGGTTAAGCTGTTACTATGTAAATTATGACCGAAGAATGCATTTCCCAAATTAATTGTTAATATAGCCTGATGATCTATTTCAGTCTGGTCAAGATGAAGCAGGACCTCTTAGGTAAGCAAAACTGACATTTGTATCTTCTTTTTAGGCCAGATTAATTAATCATTGGTAAGTTAGGACAGATTAATTAATCATTGCTAAGATAGGCCATGTTAATTAATCATTTCTAAGATAAACCATGTTAATTAATTATTGCTAAGTTAGGCTGTATTGATTAATCATTGCTACATGTTAATTAATTATTGCTAAGTTCGGCCATTTTAATTAATCATTTTTAAGTTCGGCCATGTTAATTAATCATTGCTAAGTTAGGCGTGTTAATTAATCATTGCTAAATTAGGCCATGTTCATTAATTATTGTTACATGTTAATTAATCATTGCTAAGTTAGGTTACGTTAATTAATCATTGCTAAGTTAGGTTACGTTAATTAATCATTGCTAAGTTAGGCCATGGTCATTAATCATTGCTAAGTTAGGCCATGGTCATTAATCATTGCTAAGTTAGGCCAGGTTAATTAATCATTGCTAAGTTAGGTCATGATCATTAATCATTGCTAAATTAGTCCATCCAGGTTAATTAATTATTGCTAAGATAGGTCATGTTAATTAATCATTGCTAAGTAAGGTCATCATTTTTTAATGACCAGATCTAGTAAATGTAGTTTGTTGAGCAGTAAAGATGATCTAACAGTTCGCCATTGGAGTAGTACAGATTCTAGTGGTTATGGTACAGATAACTCAAATATTGTTCGAGGACGTTTATTACCTAAAGCTAATAGTTATGGTGGAATATCGTCGCCACATAAATTACCCAACAGAACAACCAGTTACAGTTTTTCAAAAGCAGGTAAATATACTTTGGGGGACTAATAGCCACAGCTGAAAAATTGTGTAACAGAATATCACTTAAAATAAAAATGTTACATACAACTGTTAATTTCTTTAGTAAGAATGTGCCATTCGCAGATAAGCAGTCCAGCGGTAGATGCCAAGTTTTGATTGACCTGATTTTGAATCGTTGATGCGAAATTATATTCTGTTTATATTATAGTTTGCTCAATTGAATTCTAAATAATAAATTTGAGTGCATTTTCATATGGATTAAGCCATGAAAATTTACATATTGCTCAAAAAAAAAAGAAAAAGAAAATGGCAATCAATAACTTTAATTTCTTATTTCTTGATAATGATTTTAATGTATCTTGCTAAATTTGTTTTGTATTTCATAAATTGTGAAAGAATTGATATAGATTTAGAAATATTTTTATTATTGTGTTACAGATTCATTTGGTAGTTCACATTCGGGAAGTTTTGATACATGTCTAACGCGACCACCAAATGCAGTGGCGACACCACCTAGTTATTATGGTGATACTACGTCACGTAGTAGTTCGGCCGGTCCGATACAATCTCCATTACAACAAGGTTAGTTATTCACTTAATAATGATCGGGTAAAGTTGTGTGGAATGAAATGAGAAGTTATTGTCCGTTGCAAATAAACAACTGTGATGGAATCCTGTAAAGGCCCAATACTCCAGATTAGAATACAGATGTGGCATCATCCTTTAATGTTGGCATACCATTATTTCAAATAATGGTGCAGGCAACGTGCTAATTGTATATTATTTTAACCAGATGAAATATTGGACTCGTTTGACCATTTCATTGAGATCCAAGTGTGGGATAGTGTGTCTTGTATTTTAATTTGTTTAATGATGTTCTTGTGCTGTATGTCAACCATTAAACCACACATAAATGTCTAATGTAGTCATCCAGACTATTCCCAATGAAATGTTGTTTTAACATAAAAACGTGTCCATAAGTTTATGAAATCGTTGTTTGTTTGTAACTGCCTGTCAGTACCTGAACTTATTTCTATCCAAAAACAATGTATCTAAACAATCGTCTAAATTATTATATATATATATATATATATAACACGTTTTACTTTCCACAATTTTATTAAATTTATAAAAGGAAAATTCTTTTTTACCCTTATGCCACAATTTGTTAGTATAAACCATTTTAGAAAGGCTAATTATGCCCAAGATGTATGGCTGATATCTATATAAAATTGTTTTTTTGTTTTGTTTTTTTTAGTGATGCCTGGTCAAAATCATCCACTGCCATTGATTGTAGCACCAGATTTTAGTTCTATACCACCTGGTAGCCTCATGATTAATCAACAAACAAGTAAGTTAAATATTATAGAATTATTTTCTTTTATTGGCATTTAGTAATTGAACATATTAACACAAGGTACAATTTTATGGATACACAATTACTGAGTTTAAACCAGTAATTGTGTATCCATAAAATTGTACCTTGTGTTATTATAGAATTAGTTGATTTTAAAAAGTATATTAGAATACAGTAATTGTTGATTCATAGAACTTTTGTGTTTATTTTATATCAGTAACCTTTAGATTATATTCTTATGGATCTTGCAAGCTAACCTGGGAGTCCCTGATGAATCCAGGTGTTGGTGAGAAACTTCCTCGAATGGTTTCCTCTTGTTTGTAATGCAGTGCCGAGTGTCTTGCAAGGAAAGGAAATGAAATGGGGTTTAACGTCCTACTGTTCTGCTACAATGGGCTAATGAAGATGTGCATACACCATACAGTGTGCTATGAGGGAAATATGGCCTACTCTTATATGAAATTCCAACTCCAGTGTGTACATGGGACCTTGGTTTTTTATCCCATCCAAACGACTTAGACAGCTGTCCTTGTCAGGCCTTCCATCCAAACGATTGACAAGGGGAAACTGCGGCGGAAAATTTTAAACTTTTTCGCCCAACATTCAATCTAGCAAGCCAGCGACTTAACCACAATGGCTCCTGTCTTGCAAGAATCAATGTCTAGTCGTTCAATGGTACAAAAAAAAAAAATAAGGTCCTGTTTGTGTACCGATAAAAGAACCCTCAGGAACCTTTCAGTTGTTATATTTTTATTGTCTTCCAATATGTTTAAATGAATATATTGCATGTTTATTATTTAAGTGACACCATACAAAAATCCAGATGGTTCATATTATCACTATGATCCCAATCAACCTCCACCGCCTTGGTTGAGTGGTGTTACTGGACAACCAAACTCTGGTATGAACTATACATCAACAATCAAACAACAATCAGTAGTAAGTTTGTTTTATATTTTTACCCCCGAGACTAAAGACATTTGTGCCTTTACAGTTTAGCAGAAATGTTTAGACAAGTATTTGGGACTAGAATACATGCGTCGAGTGCATGAGAAAATATCTCGGCCAACCATAACAGCTGAAACATAATGTTTGTGTTTAAGTACGTCACAATTCTACTCACATCACCTCCGTGTTTGGGACTGACAGGACATCACACGATTGCAATTTCATCAGTTCGGAACGTTCCTGGCGGACAATCAAGCATCTCCATTATCTTCATTAATACCATTGAATTGAACCATTTTTGGACTAATATTTCTTTTAGAAATGCAGGGCTGGGTTGCCGAACCTTGTGAGTTTGCTCCGGGTTCTCAGGTTTCCTCCCACTGCAAGTGAATTATTGAAATAAAAATTGAACCATGTTAGTCCCAAAATGACCTAGTTTGGTCAGACGTTAATCCCCCATGTTTCTCTTTCTTTCAGAGATTTAACTTTCAAATCACTGCATTGTAGTTTACATAAAATTCATACCCTCTCAAATGACAATCAGCGGCTTTGAAGAATTGTTAAGCAGAATCATAACCTTAATAGAAGGATACCCAGCTTCGGCCCAAATTGCATCGGGTGGTTATCTGTCGCCACCAGGCCTATGTTACTCCGCGCTACCCCATTACAACAAATTTCAGCCTCCGGAGAGCCCGAGTGTAGCCGCCAACCCTAAACAGACAACCCAACGAACGACAGTCACTAATATTAGTATAGATTCTGAATTTTGTTGATTTGAAACTATAAATGTATTCTTAAGGTCTATTTGGTTATTTTGAAACTATAAGTTGAATGTATTCTTATAGTATACTATGTTATTTTGAAGGAAAGTGTGGGGGAAATATGCCATAAATTACAGCCTATGGCATTGACACCCCAGACACCAGATAATATAGAGGTACACACTTTAGGAACAGCCCCTTCATCTCACCCCCATACCTTCATGATGAGTGGACATCAAGCTTATCCTCCACAACAGCAACCAAGTAATCAATATGTACAAGTAAGCTTAAAATTTACATGTCTTATTTCTCTATTGTAAAACTTTTATTTATAGAAAATTATCCTGTTAAGTAATATTTAAAAATCGTGGATCAGTAGAACATCATGTTTTTTTATCATAATATATTCCTGATTTGTTACAAATCCTCTAATAGCACCTTAGAGGTTTTAATTATGATCTAATCATTTAGAATTTTATAATTTATTTATTGTGTAACTGTTTGAATCACTTAGCTACTGGGTGTATTGTATGTTTTGTTGCCTGGCAACCCATGTTTTAACCTTTTTCCGGCTAGTTCAAATCTAATGTACATCCCCGAAGGGACATATTATCAGTCAAGTGCTTGGAAATGGAATGGGTATTCAGTATTGATGAGGAGTCCCATGTGTTACCTGTCTATATAAATAAAGTCAAAGATGTCTGTCTGTATGTTCGCCCATCACGCTTCGTTTCTGCGATGCACCCCACACATATGTGATATCAAATTAACCAGGATGGCCCTGTGAAGGTTTTAGGCAATGATTCGATTCAATTTTGGCCCCAGGCAAAGCTGGGTATCCCACCTAGTATATTATATTCCTGAACTTTTACATAGACTAGGTAAAGGTAAGAATTGCCAAATACATTGTTTTACGAGACTTTCATCCTATTTATTTCTTTTCAGAATCCATATTATCCATCTCAAGGTGTGGCTGGCCAACCTGTGAGATATGTTTATCCTATGACATATGCGAGTCCAAACCAAGGTGAATGTCATAATCACGCGAATAGTACACAAATAGTGGGACAATATTCACAGCAGTTTGTGTCAGGTTATCCTAATTATCAAAATGTTGTGCATCAGGGAACTCCGCAGGCGAGCGAGATGCCACCTGTGTCGTATCAACCAGCTCCTATGTACCCAGTGTCGCATACGGATAATATGTCTTCATATTCTATACAGTACGCTCCACATAGTCAACAAAATTTTGGACAACAATCCCACTCACCTGTGTATTATAGTGTTTCACAGACTGCTAGCCCACAAATGGCGTTTACAATTACTGGACAGAACTCTTTAAGAGCTGCCACTCCCCCTAGTCAACCCAGTGCTAATATACCGAACCCGAACATAGCAATAAATGTGGGACAACCTTTAGGCTACGCGCAGCAAGGATCAACATCGGGAGGTCAACAGTTCACATCTTATCAACCTTATCCACACCAGTTCCCAAATCAACCACGCCCCATTAATCAAGTTATACAGTTACCAGGACTTCAATCACAAACACCTCCACAAGGTGTGTCCGTTATAAGACCTAGCATGCCCATTAATATGCAACCTGGAGGTATGGTACCAAATAATGTCGGACAGACATTGGCGGCCAAAGGCTATCAAATGACCAGCTGTGTGCATAAAAGTGGATATATGGGTGATGGTGGTAAAGATGGTGGTGTTACATTAATACCAACAGGTGGAGGTGTACCAGCTACATCTCCTATAACACCTACAGTTATACAGCATTTACAATGTACAGGTGAGTTATTGTTATACACCATTTACAATGTACAGGTGAGTTATTGTTATACACCATTTACAATGTACAGGTGAGTTGTAATATGATATCGACATACAGTTATACACCATTTACAATGTAGGCCAACAGGTGAGTTCAAATATAAGCTACAGTTATACACCATATACATTGTAGGCCTACAGGTGAGTTATATCAACTAGTGGTGGATCCAGTTTTGCACAGGTAGAGATTATTCCAGGGTGCCTTGATGTTTCGTTCACACATAACCTCCAGGTTCCCCAATCATACTTACCTGCACGCAATCTTTCTTCATGGCATATTGTGTCAATTATTGATGTCTGGCCATATCCCTGTGGTATATTTATAATAAAGGGAGATAAATCTGTTATACTGGTAACCTTTGTTTAGCTGTAGCGTTTGTTGACAGTGTGTTACAATGTATCTTCATATAAACCATAGTTGATTTTAAACCCCATTCTTCTTATAACTTGTCTGCCATTAGTCTAGATATGGTGTTGTTTATCAGTGGGGGGTGACTGGCATGGTTTTGACTTCCCACTTGCATGTGACGAGTAAAGTCTTCTGTTTAGTCCCAAAATGACCTAGTTTGTGTCTCTATCAATATTTACACATCAATAATGTACATTTACATGCATGATGTAGATGAAATAAGGAGTTGGATGTTGACAATTAAACCAGGTATTGTTTGATATTTTCAGGTGATTATCGTATGGTTGCTCCTGCCGGTGTCCGCCCGCAATTACAACCTTTACAGTTTACTAGTAAACCTCAACAGACACAATCTCAAGTGCCAAAAACTAGGTAAGATATGTATAGTAAATAGTGTCTAAGTAGGTTGTAGCGCTGCCGTTGAGGCAAAATTTCCCTCAAAACACACTGTATCGCATAAGCCTGTCATTAGATCCCTCTCAAAACTTTGTAATCGTGAGAAGATACTCCAAGCCATAGAAATCTATTTTTAGAAGCCACGTTTGTCATCTAACTTGATTAAGGGAGGGCCCATTTTTCAGAATGTATTTGTCATTACTTATTGTCAATTTACCATACATTGTGACGCCTAAATTATTTTCTGCCAACTTCTTTATCCACCGTTTAATTGCAGAGTCTGTTATACGTTTACACCCCTCAATGTTTCCAACACTGCCTAACTGTTCGTTCAAGAAATAACCGCTCCGTAAGTAAATCTGGCAATAATAAGCTGTCAGGTTTCGCAAGAATGTAATTTTAATGGCATAGTACATTCTTATCAGGACATTAATCAATGAAATACCTTTATCAAGGGGATTTTAGCAATGGTTAAGTAATTAATAATATGGTTTGTATTTGTAGACCGGTTGTTCCTAGTGTATCTATACGCGCTCCTAGACCTCGAAAACCAGTTAGATCTACTAGTAAAGAGGCTACAACGCCTTCTAGTGGTGCCAGTCCATCTGCAGACAATGCTTCAAACCAGAATGCATGTAAGTGTCTCTTACAAGATGAATTGTGATTGTGTCATATATTAATACTTCAAGCGATGTTAGTACAACTGTATCAATATATACTCTTCAAAAAAAAGTAGGGGATATTCAGAAACAATACAAAACTGCAGAAATGCACTGATGTAACCAGTGTATGTTAATAACAGGCCAATTGCCTACACATGAACATAAACAGTTCATATGGGTGGCTTATCTGACGGCCCCATTTCACTCGCAAAAAAGATACACTGTCAAAAGTGAAAATGGACGCTTTTGATTTTTGTCTCAATAATGGGTAATTGCTCCACCATTCCTCAGACATTTAGCAATTCGTTGTGGCATGCTCCTAATCAACCGTCCAATCAGGATTTGGGGCCATCTGACCCACTCCTCGTGCAGTGCCACGGCCAATTCTTGCAGTATTGTCCGTCGACGAACACGTCTCCCGATCAAATTAAACGTAACACACTAAAGCAAAGTTACACTAAACAGTAAATCTTATGCAAGAACCGATAGGAAAGCAAACATGGATAGGATAAACCAGCATGTGGCAGTTTTCATCAACCCTTCCTTGAAGTGTCAAATTTGACAATGCTCCTCTCCCACGTATATGGCGCTATTGCGTGTCGCATGTGCAGCTCAGTGGTTCTGTTGGGGCGATAAGTTCATCTGTGAACATACTCTCAAAGCATGTCAAGTGTCCATGACTATTTATCATATCACAACCTGCATAGGTATTTGCATTTCAATATCCCCTACTTTTTTTTTTAACTTAAATACAGATACACTATCCTGTTAGTGCATTTCAATGAAATCGTCACATGAGTCCTATATTTCATCTAGTGTAAATAATTTACAATTGGCTTGTTGCCCATACCAATAGATGATGACGTCTCATCTGTATTTTTAGTTTAGATAAGATTTCAGAATTGTTGCTATTTACATTCATGACATGGCAATCAGTGATATAAATATCACATCACTGATGTCTGAATTCTCTTTAAAGAGGGGGGTTGGATGGCTGAATGGTTAGCGAGCGCTCGGTGTATCATAAAGTCTGTCATTGAGTCGACTGGCGTGGTTTCGAATCCCCGGTTGTACGTGACAAGGAGTAGGGTCGCCTGTCCAACCTTGTGGGTTTTCTCTGGGTCCTCCGGTTTCCTCCCACAGCTAAAGACCCCTACGCGCAAGCGAATGATTGAAATAAAATTAAACCATATGTTAGTCCCGAAATGACCTAGTTTGTGTCGTTGACGTTAAACCCCATTTCTCTCTCTCTCTCTCTTTAAATATTTTTATAGGAAAAGGTTTTATTCTTGATAATTTAAACTGTAGCATATGTATTGATTAATCTACAGTAAGTAAACACTCTAAACGGGTCTAAAATAAATCAATTGTCTTCAATGAATTATAAACTCATAAAGTATTGATCAGTTCTTTAATAGTCCATTACCAACTTCCATTTTGAAATCTAGGTGTTTTTTTGTCTCCATTTGAGGAATTGGTTTTCCATTTCGTTTAAATCAGTTGCTAACACAAAAACTGGTGTGTTGGGTGTGTCATCAATTTATTCACCAGTCGTTTTAAGTTGCAAGTTTATTTTCGTTCTTCCAATGTGCGTATGATCTTAAACTCAATACATTTATTTTAACCATTATTAATAATCATGTAAGTCATGGTGGGGATCACGGTGGCTAAGCGGGTAAGATGCTGGCTCGCTAGCCTAGAGGTCGGGTGTTCGATCCCTGCATTGGCCAAGAAAGTTCATTCAGATTTTCTGTGGGGTTGGATGGCTGAATGGTTAGCACGTGCGTGCTGTATCATAAAGTCTGTCATTGAGTCGACTGGCGTGGTTTCGAATCCCCGGTTGTACGTGACGAGGAGTAGGGTCGCCTGTCCAACTTCAAGGGTTTTCTCCGGGTCCTCCGGTTTCCTCCCACTGCCAAAGACGATTAGCGCAAGCGAATTATGAAAATAAAATTAAACCATGTGTTAGTCCCGAATTGCCTAGTTTGTGTCGAGTGGACGTTAAACCCCATTTCTCTCTCTCTCATTCATATTTTCTGGTGTGGTTCCCTCTTGTCAGTGAAGCAGGACAGAGGGCCTGACAAAGACAGTTGTCTAGTCGTTTGGATGGAACGAAAAACCGAGGTCCCGTGTACACATTTGCGTGCACGTAAAAGATCCCAAGAAAAGGCCATAGTGCCGCTGCCCGGGCAAAATTTCCCTCGTAGTACACTGTATGGCATATGCTCGTCATCATTAGCCCAGTTCGGAGCAGAACAGTAGGACGTAAATCCCATCCCGTTTCATTTTCATTTCATTTGTAAGTCATGTATTCTTTTTCTTTTCAGAATTCGAGGAAACATATCAACCTTAGATAGATCTGAGTTTAGGAAAAAAAAAGAATAGTCATCAACGATAGTGCCAGGGTGCCTAGCTACACTTGAAAATAAAAAAAAACATTTGAAAAAAAAAAAAGATATATGGACCCTTCCACACCATATATAAATATATATATATAGTTCCACAGATCCTCCTTCTTATGAATTTTACCCAAGTTGAAAACCAAAATTTAACGACACCTCAAATTGTATAAAAGAGTAACAAAAGGTGGACAGATATAAAGATTTGTGGACTATAAAGATATTTTTATAGGAAATTTTTTAGAGATTTTATTTATGACAACATCAAAAAATTTTCGAAGAATTCAGAGAGAAAAAGCTATATTACTTGTGCACTTTTTATATGATGCAACTTTATCTATCTTCGTCTGCGCGGAGTTAGTTCCTCCTGTTTTTTACTCTTAACCTTCTTCCAGCTTTTTTCTTTACCCTGTTTCTATGTGACGTTGTTCTTTTTTACCTAATGAAGTTGAATTTTCAAAACTGACAGTTATTCGCAAAAAAAAGGAATTGGTGCAGATATTATATAGGTGTGTTAAACAGTGTTTTATTGTGTAATTACAATTGTAACTTCTTGCTGGGGATAAACTAAAATATTCTTCAGCAAAGTTTTTTTCTTTTTGTCATTGTTATATTGTTGTTAATGTATTCATCCCCTTAATTCATTGTCCATTTGTTGGAAAAAATAGATTTTACCTGCTAATAAAATATCTCCAAGACATTTTTCTAATTTAAATTGGAATCTATTATCGTCTCTTGAAATCTTGTCTACATGGAACCTTGAGGGTCAGGTACTCGGGTTGTTCGAATTATGACAAACATGTATTTATACTCGAGGTGATTTATAACGACATGTGTTTACGAATGCAATGACCTTATAAATGCTTTTTGAAGCATTGATGACTTAACTCTAGCCCATTGACAATATTTATGGACATGATTCATAACCACAGTATTTACAAATAAAGATTACTAATACCTCATAAATACTGTATTTATGACTTAAGATTGCAAAGTGTTCAAATAAAAAGTTGCCCAAACCCTGAATAACCTCCTCCGATATGTATATAAAATTTATGGAAAAGAGCTGTGACAAAGTGTAAGATAGCAGCTAAAAGTGCAGACAACAGTAAATCAGCTAGTCCCATCGTCAGATGTCAAGGTACATATACCATTAAAATTTTGTATCCATTAAAAACTACAGTCTCTATTGTGTTTATAAGGTTTTTAGAAACTGTGAAACAAAGTTAAACAATGCTGAAAATATATCAATTGAGTCCATCCTCTCATAACCCTCATGCTTTCCACCAAATTCAAAAACATTGGTTAAAAACTACAGCCTTAATCGGATTCACAAGGTTTTTGAGGGAGCGGGGCTACGAAACGCCAAGTCACGGAATGCTGAAAATCGATAGGGCTTGTCCTCTCATAACTACAATACTTAACAAGAAATTTGAAAAGAACCCATTAAAAACTGTAGCCGCCATCGCATTCACAAGCCAATTGTTGACTGACGGACAGGGTGACAACATAATATGTTCACGCACTGTGATTAGGCTGAACTTTCAAACCACAAAGTAGTTACCGGGCAGTCTTTTTGATCCCATAGGCGTAAGGGGGTCGATTTCTGTTGGGTGGGTGGGGGCTCCTACACCTATGATTGATCCTGACACCTACGTCTGTTGAAAATCTGGAGACTCTAAGAAACAAATCTTTATTCACCCTCACGCCATGTCAATGGATAGATAAAGAACTGAAGAAGACGTCATTGTGTGCATGCAAACAAAAAAATGAGGGCATAAAGCAGAGTGATTAAACTCATTAGTCAATTTAAAAAAAATAAAGGTTTCTGAAAAATTGAAACAAATAATGATCGATGCCCAAAAAGTGTATTATAGCAGATACCCGAGACGTCATGTGTCTGGCTTAGACATAAACAAAAGATTGGACTGGCAGTCTACCATTGTATGGGATCATTATTCAGAAATGAAAAGGGTGCTCTTCATGTTTTAAGAAATAATATGATTTGCAATCTGATTGGCGTGGGACTTTATTATGGGCCCTTCATTTTGTCGACTAACAGGCAAAATATTTGTTTCCCCAATATATATATTAATTTTTTATCACTTTACTTGCCTGCCAGTGAAATCTGTTCCCACCCACTGTTCCTACGCCTATGCGAGGAACTGAAATAAAATTGATTAATTATAAATATCTCCTTTCTCGACATTGGCAATGTAGGTGTCATAATTCTTGAAGACTTGCAGTTTTTAATACTTTGTATATTTTGAATATGACGTACTTATAAATGGCGAAACGTTAACAAACTGCTGCTACCACTCTACAAAGCGGAACTCTGAGATTTTAGTTCTCCCTTGAGTTTATGGGCAACGAGCAATTGAACCGGTAATGAAAAATAATTGTGTTTGTATATATGCCTATATAAATATTAATTTTATTTCACGAATTTAAGAGCACATTTAGGCTCGTAGAATGAGTTTACCTTTAGCTAATAGTAACCATAAAGTTACGTCTAATATTTTTTTTATTGCATACCCTATAATAAAACCAGAGTAAAAATCGTAGAATGAGTTTACCTGTAGCTAATAGTAACCATAAAGTTACGTCTAATATTTTTTTTATTGCATACCCTATAATAAAACGAGAGCAAAAATCGTTCAATACAAATATAAATATCCAGTTACCTCAGCAATCAGTTTATTGGCACACCTTGTGTAAACAGCCATTTAATGATGAATAAATTGACACAAGTTTTTACCTGTGTAATAAACCTGTGGTAAACCTACATTGATTGCTGAGTTAGCTCTATACTTATATACATGTACTAAGCAGCAAAAGAAACGTCAGGTTGGTATGTTACTCTGAATAAATGCATTGCATAAAACTTGACAAATGTTTTTATTGTATATTTGTGACCACATCTCCAACTTTATCTGAGCAATAAGGCTTGAACCCATGATTCTTCTCAAAAACGCAACCTGACTTCTGAGATGATAATGTGTTCTCCGTGATTTTCATATAACTCATGCTGCACTTGTTGTTCACCGGGATCAGTCCTATAAAATGCACCCCCATACCTGGTTGAATCATTCACACTACAATTTCAGCAGCATGTCACGACTCATGACAGCTCAGAGGAATCGGGCGCTTGGAAGACTCGACGCTGGCCACACTGCCCAAGCCGTTGCCAATCACTTTCAAGTCAATGTTCAGGCCATCTACAGGCTTCAGCAACGCTTTCGGGCCACCAACACCACGGATGATCGCCCCCGAACTGGTAGACCAAGACGACAAGACCGCCATGTTGTTCGACAGCACGTGCAGAATCCCTTCACGTCAGACAGTGGGAGCACACGGAAGACCCATCGGTATCGATACAGTGCGGCGACGTCTCGCCATAGAGAACATCCATTGTCGTAGAAATCATGTCTACAGTTTGCTCAACAATACCAGAACTGGCGACACAGGCAATGGAGAACTGTTCTGTTCATAGATGAGAGTCGGTCTTGCGTATCAACTGCAGATGGCAGGACTAGAATATGGCGTCGACGTGGCCAGTGTTATTCTGACCAATGTGTCATGGAACGAGACTCATGAGGAGGTCCAAGCATAATAGTTTGGGTGGAATCGGCCTGAACCAGAGAGTGGATCCTGTGGTGTTCCAAAATCTTGGTCCAGGGAGAGGAGGCGGCATCACAGCAGTGTGCTACACCGATCAAGCTCTCGGACCCCACGTCATACCACATTTCGCACGTCATCCAAACAACGTTTTTCAGCATGACAACACCCGTGCCCACACCGCCAGAGTTAACCGGGACTTTCTACAGTAGAACAGTGTCAACGTTATGCACTGGCTAGCCCTTAGTCCGGATTTAACCCGATTGAACATCTTTGGGATAAAATTCAGAGGAGACTTAATAACGTCGTACTGAGACCAAACACAGCCGATAGTAAGATTAATAACGTTCAGATAACACAGTTTAACTGCATGCTCCAATTTGGATCTTAGAAATTATCACATTAAAATTCTCTCTAATAAAGAATGCAGACTAAGGTCGAGTGCGCTTCTTTAAGAGTAGGTCTACACCCACAAATACAAGTGTGTTTAGGCAAATTCATAACTGACTTTTTATAGAGACTTTTAAAATACCCTTTAGCATAATTAAAGAGTTCTCGTTAATGTTGGGAAAATACAACCCACATGCCTAACATTCTGACTATATCTGACATTTAAAGGACAATATTGGTGTCAGCTCTTATGACATGTGATACAACTGGTTAAACACATTCAAAATATAATTTTAACACACAAATCATTACTACGGTAGATGCATAACGAAGATTTGAAAAAACAGGATGTGACGCAAGAAATGAAAAACGCGAGTTATCCTTATATATAACTGACTGAAGTGACGAGCGCCCTAACTTTCGGGAAAGCTGACTTTTCGGGCAGACGGGTAAAGTGAATAAAAAAATTATTTCATCTACTTGGCACAATAAAGTGCATGAAATCTAATAAAACACTAATTTTACGGGCAGGAATAGCAGTAAAACGCGTTTGAGGCCGTTAAATATTCCAAAATTTTCTTGGGGGTCCATACAAGGTCAGCTCGCTTCTTCGCCTCTCGAAGAAAACCGGCGCTGCTGTCTGTAAACCTGAAATTTTTTCGGGCATTTCTAGTTTTGTTTCCCTAAATGTCACCGAGCACCAATCAAACACTAATTTTACTTTTCTTTTAATTGAATACCACGAATTTCTACTGAGTTGACTATGGATTAAAACATTTTGTCTGGAGCCACTCTACTTTGTGTGACATTTTTCGGGCATCGATTATTATTTGTGAATGCAGCTGCAACAGTCTGATTGAATGGTTGGAATTCAGAATGGGAGTTACTTACACGGGCTAGAATAGTAGAAAATGCATTTACGGTGGTTAAAATTTCAAAATTTTCTCCGGGAGGGTGAGGCCTCCATATCCCGCGAGGATTGATTGGTTGTTTGGAATTCGGGTCAGCCAGGTAGGCTATATTCGACCAAATTGAAGATGCTGTATTCACAGTCTGGAATAGCAGGAAAACGGGTTTGCGGCTGTTAAATTTTCAAAATTATCTGCCAACGGTCCCGTCTC